AAATATCTGAAAAATCTACTTGAGTACAGTAACGAAGTATTTGTACTTCCCATCTCTGATTCTTCAAATCACCGCAAACGTATTATTTTTAGGTATAAATAATAGCTGACTGCACTTTTCTTTTAAATCTCATAATTGTGACTTTGAGTCACACTTACGACATAAAATCTTCCCTTTCTTTATATATGATCGCTTTGGAAAGTAGATCAAACTGTTTCCTAAATACTGGATTTAGTTAAACCCATTTAAACCCCAATAAGATCCATAAAGGAGGAAAATCTGACAGGAGATGAAATGTCAACTTTTTGATTCTACATATTTCACAGCTAGCAATGCAAAAAAAAAAAAAAAAAAACAGTAAAGAGACCCGCAGACTGAAGGCTTTCAGGGCAAAAGTCAATTTTAATAAAAATGACCACATAACATTTATTAAAATCTAATAAAATTACAGTTTTCCATCTAGTTGAGCCTGTGTTGTAGGGAGGGTACCAGGTCCCATTTCTGAAAATAAATACATCTCATCTTGATGGAGGGCCGAAGCCGCAGGCGTCCTATGAATTTCCCTCATTGTCACCGTTTGTGAAGCAGACAGAAACAGACTTTGAGCAGCAGGAGAAAAAAAAAAAAAACAGGACCTGAAGCCCCATGCGAATACGCAGGCACGCACGCACACACACACACACTGAAACATCACCAGGAAACCAGGATTACATCTGAACGGCTTTTTTTCCTAGAGGAGGAGTCTTCCAGCAGCCAGGAAGTGATCTACTGAGAGCTTCGCTGTCGTTTGGTCAGAAAGTAAAAGAATCTTTGTGTACTTTTAGCGAAAAGGTTGACATTTTGCAGGAAATATGTCGACTTCTTTTTGCTTAAAGAGCTAAAGCAGGCGACTGCACCACCTGCATTAGCTTAGCTTAGCACAAAGACTGGAAACAGATGGAAAATGCTAGCCTGGCTTCATTCCACTAATCAACATCATTGAATTTCATCTTCATCACAGCTTCCTGCTCCTCTTCATAAGGAAACTTCACAGATCGGTCCCCGTGTGACCAGAGGGGGCGCTGTTACTCCTGTTTATAATAATATTTTAATAAAATTCTCATCTCTATTAGCGTTCATGACTTTAAGCCGCAGTAGAGTCCAGTTTGTAAGAAGATAATCGACTTATCTTCACTTTTTAAAGGCTTAAAAATAAAATAAAATAAAATTCCCACTGATATACGGGCAGAAAAACCCAGGATGATAAAAATTTAACATATTTAGATCATTATCCTGTTTATAGGTGTGTCCTCCCCCCAACTGTCCAGGTGAGCCAGAGAGGCTGATTTAGAAATCAGGGTTTGTGCAATCTGTGCTTCGGAAAGGTTCGAAATGGAGAAGATCAGACGAGTGAAAGCTAAAGAAATGAAAGAAAAAAAGAAGACAGAAGAAGAGTGCCAAAAAAAAGTGTAATAATCCAATTTACTACCTTGTTGGAGGTTAAAAAAATGTAAGAATAAATTAGGAACATCTTTCCAATAGGCTTCTGGTAAAAATATCATTTTTTAAAAGATATGGTTTAAAATTAGACGAAAAGGCAAGAAAAAAAAAATGTAACAGATAAAAAAAAAAAAAAAAAAAAGAAATGGGTCAATTTGCTCAACATGTGAACAGATTTCCTCAGATAGGAGCAATCAGACACACAGACAACACTTTTTTTCCCCATAATCTAGAAGAAATCTGGTGTTAGAAGCTGGGACTCTGCTACTCTGGTTCAAACTGGTTTCCTAAGGTCAGCTGGTCCAAAAGGAGATCAGAACCACAATCCATGTTCTCCTGAATTCTGAACAAAACTCACATCATATTGGGTTTTAAAGCACAAGGTTATCAAATGGGTAGATTGCAGGTTTAAAATCTGAATCATATGGGCTTAAAAGAAACCTGTGGGTAAAATCTGACCTCAAACATGAGCTGAAATCCTGGAAATGCTTTAGAAGAGCTCATTGCTCGTTGTGTTTTAACTACGCTGCAGGCGGCTGAAGATCCGTGGCTCTCGGAATGAGGTCATTAAGCGCCGTTTTTCTGACGCTCGCCTAAAAGCTGGACATTAAAACCAAACATTAGGAGGAGCTTAAGGTCCGACCCTGATCCCCGATGGGCCGCGTTTCTCTCTGCTTCTGGATCCTCGTCATGCCTTTAAGGAACGATGTGTCCGACTTTCAACAAACAGGAATAAAAATCAGCTAAAATACTAAAAACCCAGAATTTGCTGGATTAACCCAGATCCACCTCATCCGGGCTCCTTAATCTCATCACTGATGTATTTAAAACACACAAAAATACTCTCCGTTTCATTCGCAGATCCTCCTCTGAGGCCGATCACGCACTCATCCAACCCAAACTGTCTAAAAACCAGCCGGTTCCCTTCAGGAGAACCGCCTCTGTACACCGTTTGTTTCTAGTTTTTGTACATCGCTCACAAAGGGAGAACCGTCTAATATCTAAATTCCCCAAAGTGTGAAGATTTTGCATCAGAAGCTGTTGGAGAGCGGTTAAAGATGTCCGCCCTCGGCTGGTCGACACTCGGACAGGACTGAGGATAAATACTTAAAACCCGCAGAAAGGAAACCATGTTCTCAGCAGTACCGTGGAGTTCATGCCATGTGCTTGTTGGGGTGTTTGAAGGGAGATGCAGCTAAAAGGACATTAAACCGGCCAGGATCGGGTTTCTGTCGGAACTACCGGCGGGAGAATCGGTTCTTGAACGCTTTGATGGTTTTCGCCATCATGGGGGCGATTTCTGCAAGGAGAACAAGTCCGGGGGATTTACAATAAAATATATTCAATTATTATTTTGTTTAATGAATTAAAATGGCAACAGACTCACTTTTAACTTGTGGTTTTTCCCGTCCTGGATGTACAGCTCCTCCTCCTCCTCCTCCAGGTGTGGCTGAAGAGCGAGAAGAGCTGGCAGGAGCGCTGACCTGGGAGGAGGAGGAGCTGCTCGATTCGCTGAAGTGGTCAGAAGATGCTGGTCTTATTCTGAAAGAGAGGAAGAGGACAAAGCTTTTATTGTGACATCCGTTGAAGGAACAGAAAATCAATAAAGTGTGAAAATAAAACTTAGAGATTCAGTTTGATTCCTCAGTTTACACTGAGATTACGGAGTGAATATTGTTCCAGTTCTTCCAAACATTAAACATATTTTGCAATCTAGAAATAACTTTGAAAAACTTCTTATTCAAAGAGAGTTTTGAGAGTAACTTTGCTGTTTTCTACGGAAGAGGATTAGGGCCACTGGAAAAAAAACAAAAAAGTTAACAGATTTTAAAATTTTATTTCAGTTTAACATGGGAAAAAAGTCAGAATTCTGACTTTAATCTCAGAATTCTGACTTTTTTCTCAGGATTTTTACTTTAATCTCAGAATTCTGACTTTAATCTCAGAATTCTGACTTTTTTCTCAGAATTTTTACTTTAATCTCAGAATTCTGACTTTAATCTCAGAATTCTGACTTTTTTCTCAGAATTTTTACTTTAATCTCAGAATT